GAATCCCCACAAGAAGCCGGCATATCAACTCTTCCATCTTCTACTTCATCTGCCCTTCACTACACAAGCCACAACTTCGTCTAAACTTATGACGCCGGCGATTCAAGCCACCGGAGAGAAGCCGAACTCACAGATCACCTAACGTTAACGGTCCACTTTCGGTAACCTGCATGCTTAAAGGGAAGTCTGGCGAGATCAGCGTGAATAGAACGCTTTAAATGAAGAACTCACCTCTCAGCCTCCCGCTGGTCAGCAGATCCATAACATTCTGACAGCTGAAATAGTTCGAAGGCAAATGACCAGGCAATCTAATCCATAAACATTATTCCATAACACCTTCATTCGTCGATATACATCCATGAAAAGGTGCACTGATATCCAAACCAGCTGCTGGTGAGAGTGGAGCCATACTTTCACGCATAAACATTGTAGCGATCTGATCTACAAAATGGCCGCCGGCATTTGCACTCTGAACTCTTGACCGTGACTCCAAGGAGCCAATAGCTTAAAGGGGAAGTATCACCATCCAATGAGCTTTCAAAAACTGGAGACGGTCCCGCCTTCTCTCCCGACAAATTCATGAATGGACTGCGTGCAGAGACTTTGATTCTGGCCAAATAATCATGTTGAGATTACAGACATGTTACTTATCATGGATGGAGTAAAGCCATGATAAACATTACATTCACACAGTTCCTATTAAGTGGCAACATCGTTTTTAAGTTTGATGTAGGCAGTTGATATATTTACATTTTTATTAATAATTATATATACATATATTAAAAAAAAAAAAAAAAAAAAATTCTGAAATGAGTATTACCCAGCAAGTGATAGACAACCTACACATCAAGCAGTAACCCTTTTGTATCACGCCAATTGTGACTCTCATATCAATACACCTGAATGTCAGTCAGTTTATAATGACAGTAAGAAAACAATTTCCTGCTCGACTGCAACAAACAAGAGGAGGACATTTCTGGCCATGGAGTAGCTTTTCATACTTATACTTTGTGTTAAATACATTCGAGTTTTAAAAAACTTCTATATCAGTAAGGGGTTTAAACTCCACTCCATCATCATCTCACCAGCTCTCCAAGAGGTTTCCTGGACTTCCAGCATAGAAACGCCCCATACGCTCAGTTCTCCTTCTAATTACCACCCTGCAGGAGGACAAATGCCCACTTCTACAACCCTAGCACATTGTGACATTAAGTATTTGAACATGCATTAACAAAGGCGCTTCCATTCACAATCATCCATACACTTATGAAGACTCCTCCCACGAATATCAGCCAATACAATTATTCATGTCTGCTGTACATGTGCCATGTTGCTAAGATTTCATTTCTAATTCTCTCTTGTTTTTCATTTTAGAGTTCAAGACTGCCAGCTCCTGAAACTGCCCTCATTCAACCCATCACACTCTTCATCCATTCCTAATGCATTTACACTCTTCGCAAAGATACTTTCTGCCTATACAGCCCACACCCTTGATACCATATTCACATATACCCCCCCCCCCCCATTTACTCTTCATATCACTATTGACAATATTTAGCACTCATAACGCTCCAATGCTGACTATCATTTGTACTTCCGCTATAGCAGAGTCGCTCCGCCGAGCCTCATTCTCCTTCTGCACCCCCCCCCCTCTTCTTCCCATTTATAGATGACACAACCGCCCTGTCACACGATTCTGATTTAAGAGATGCTTATAGCAGTTCTTTGCTCCACAGGTATCCCCCAGATCAACTCCCAGTCACTCTTACACAGGGTGTCTCCGGAGTATCAGAAGGTGTTGGGGGCTGATAAGTCAATATAGAGGAGTTTGAGGGCTTAAAATATTAGAAAGTCTTAGATTCCTTTACAAGGTAATACATTTATTGTTGAACAAGGTATCATCGTATGCTAAAGTTTGACTATTCAAGCCGTGAATATCAGGATACTAGGTAGTTACGTAATCAGTAAAATTCTACTAAGGTTTGACAGCTTGCCGCTTGTTTACTGCAACACTTATCAGTCTGCAGCTCTATAGGTGACAACCTGTCGAATCGGCTAGATTTTAATATACATGTGTCTGTATTCGAATGTTTAGTTGGATTCATTTGTTACATTTTAATATTTAGTAAATATTCTGTAAGATAAATCTCGCCAGCTTTTTTGATTGAAAATGGTGATAAGGTCTTTAAATGCGTGGGAAAAGTATTAAAGGTGTTGAATTACTTCTCTTATTCCTGTATACTATGTTTCAGAATATGAGCAGCCATCACAGAAGTACAAAGGGCAGCAACAAATCCAGATCCTAGAAAGGTGGTCACCTGATGCCTTCAAGACATGCGTCCCAGCCACTGGCCCCCCAAAGAAGCCCAGATGGCTCTTGTCAGCCATAATCCCACATCCACTCAAGGGCGAGGGTGTGACCCAGCCACCTTCTTCTTTTTCTTCCTTCTAGCCTGAGTAACACTCAGTTTCCTCCCCCAGCCACATAGGTAATTGGAGTTTCATCCAAGCCCCCCGTCACCCCGCCACCCTGGCCGTTTCCGCTGGAGTCTTCACAGCCCCCTCCCATTTCCCGACTCCTGCCGGACCCCGCCCCCCCTGAAGCTCTGACTTCCGCAGAAGTGTTACCCCGAGCTACGACCCCCGCAGGGGTCGTCTCACCGTCCCTTCCAGGCCTTAGCAATCTTTATTTATATATATATATATATCTATATACACCTGTACATAGATATATATTTATAATAGCGCTGTCACTCCCCCGCTCCATCTCCTAACGGAGTGTTCCTCGAGCACCTAACTTATCCCGTCACCCTCTAACAGGAGTCTTCACTGTCCAAATCCCCTTTCCCAGACTCCTGCTAGAGTAGGCCAGCTTGCCCTGTTCCCCGGGCGCCGACCCCCGCAGGGGTCAGTCACTGCCCCCCCCAGGCCACTGAAACTCATTATATATGTATATCTATGGACTTTCGTTTATAGATATATATTTATATAGAGCGCTGTCATTCCCCGCTCCATCTCCAGTTGGAGTGTTCCACGAGCATCGACTCCAGCAAGAGTCTGGCCAAACTTGCCACTCACCCTCTAGCAGAAATCTCCACCGCCCAAATCACACTTCACGATTTCTGCTAGAGATGGCAAAATAAAAAATTGCTGCACCCAACTCCCGCAGCGCCCATTCTGACTCAGAAGTCTCCTGTTCACCCCCTCCAGGCCTTAGATTATCCCATTTTATATATATATATATATATATATATATATATATATTTATATACTCTCTCATATATACATATATATTTATATATAGCGCTGCCACTTCCCTGCTCTATCTCTGTTTGGAGTGTTCCTCGAGCATTTTTGACTCTTAATGAGCCAACCCCGCCCACCCCTTATGGCCCCCCTTCACTAGTCTCCACCCAACCCCCTCCCCCGCTCTGGCTTCCACAGGAGTCAGTTTCAAACTTTGCTCCAACTGGAGCCCCCTACTCTTCCTTCATTCCTTAATTACTATATCCAGCAGCCGGATATAGTAAAAACTTTCTAGCTTTTTGGGGGAAATTCTTTGAAATACTCGGCTGCTGTCCCGAGCTAGAGGCATTTTTTGGGGAGCGATCGAGACCTACCTGATCTCGGTTCTCCTGATATGCTTCTAGACCGGGCGGGAGCCCTGGGCTCAAATATCTCCGAGCTCAGGGTTCTCTCCCGGGACAGCATGCCAAACCTGCTATAAGTGCCAAGCATATCTAAGTGGGAACTCTTGAAGTGAAGTTTCATAAACTAATTTCGAGAGGAGCACGTGATATGATTGTGCACCGCTGGCCACTCATCCGTAATCAGTAATAATCCAATCAGAATGATCCTAGCTTAGTATAAATGGATCACTTTCTCCCCATTGCACTATCTTCATTTTGGAAGAATCCCCCCTTCCACCCCATCTCCTCCTTTTTCTACCCTTCTAAAGGGGGAGCGATCGAGACCTACCTGATCTCGGTTCTCCTGATATGCTTCTAGACCGGGCGGGAGCCCTGGGCTCAAATATCTCCGAGCTCAGGGTTCTCTCCCGGGACAGCATGCCAAACCTGCTATAAGTGCCAAGCATATCTAAGTGGGAACTCTTGAAATGTCTGTGGGATTTCAGTGTTTCAGGTGTTCAATCTGTTTCATGATCTGATAATAGTATTGGTGAGCTCCTCTTTCTTAATTCAGTGCTCCTTTTGTGAATCAACATTATTTAAACTTAATAGTTGAAAACAAATTTTACTGATTTGACCAGTGACTAACCCATCACAGAGTCAATTATCCAGAGCACACCTGCTCTCTTTATACAATATTTGCCACAATACACTATTTGGCAAACAAAGAGAAACTAATGTTAGCAATCGAGTCAGAGTCCAAGTAAAGCAGCTGCTGTTCTCCTCAATGGTGACAGCTTAAACACAAAAAGTGTTTTTTTTAATGTTGTTGTAAAAAAAGAGTTAATTCTTAATATTATCACTGTATGGAATTTCATAGGGTGTGGCAGAAATAAGGCCTAACAGGTTGTTAATAAGTAAAGCTGCTGTTTGTGGAGTTACTTAATGATCCTTTGCTGAGATTTTGAGAGATGTGATGTGTTTTATTTCAGTTTGTTTAATCTATGGCTGTGACTGAAGGTAGATGTAGTTTTGTGTTTCTCTTCTCTGTTTCTGCTTATTAACAGCAGGTGTTCATCATCAGTGCTCAATCAACACTTAATTAACCCCATCATTGTCTCATTAACTGTAACTCTGCTGCTGAGTACATTTTGCTCAGTTCAGAGAGGGACCAAATGTTCTCTGAACTGATACACTATGCTGAGATCTCCCGTGTGCATCTGGATTCTCTCTTCAGTCAGTTTTGAACAGCAGGTGGCGCCGGTGCTTTAGAAACTCTGATTACACCTAAATCTAAAATAATCATGACATGACATTCAAGACATTTAGGAAAGAGTTAAGCTACACATGACTAGAGTGTTGATACAGGAGCTGTCACTGGGGCAGTACCTTTTGAAAAAGTGCATATTTGTACCTGAAGGGCCCATAATGGTGTCTCAAAGGTAGTTTTTAGGTACCAATATGCACCTTTTGGGTACCACTGTGGACTATTTGGTTACAAATGTGTATCTTTTAAAGAGGTACTGCCCCAGTGACAGCTCCTGTCCCTCTATTCCTGAGAGTGTAGAGATGTGTGTTTACATTCAACTCCTAATGAGAGAAAAGCCCAACAGCAGTCCAGAGCGCCCTCTGCTGGTAACTACAGCACTTTTGGAAAAACCCAGAACTGATTTCTCACACTATGTTCCCCCGCAGCTCTACTATCATCTGCTTATGATCTGAAAACATCTTATTCTGATGGACCCTCAACATTACACTGACTACAACTCACCCTAACCACTCCTGGAGGGCCGGTGTCCTGCGAAGTTTAGTTCCAACCCCAATCAGACCCATCTGAACCAGCTCATCAGGCTCTTACTGGAAACTTCCAGGTCATTGTATTGAAGGAGGTTGGAGCTGAACTCTGCAGAACAGCGGCCCTCCAGGACTGAGTTTGGGATCTCCTGCTGTAACCCAGTACTCACCATTAGTCTGGCTAGAGTTAGTTGACACACAGCTGCAAGATTATTTATACTGAGAATAATACCTGATGTGGACTCTCAAAATAAAGCGAAACCAAAACTTAAGTGCAAAAACAAAATTGCAAGACAAGATGTTTCCTTTGCAGAGTTTAACACAAACCCACTCCACCCCTGCATGCCTTCATTCATTATCCACACCATGCTGCATCTCCATCATCACGCTCCGACACACTGCCTGCAAAACAGATCTCCATCATCATTTCCCAAAGAACCGCAGACTTTAGATCTAGGAGGATGTGACGTGTTGTGTTGGACAATTGGAGATGCAGATACAGCCAATGAAACATAACCTGAGACTGCGTCACCGTGACAGTGTAGAGCATCACAGAAGATCCAGCACTTCATAATGCTCATGGTGGAAATCCTATCAGTGTTGATGGAACCACAATGATGCTGTGGGCCGTTTCTCATCTTCTATTAGCATCTTAAAATCAACATGTCCTAATGGAACGTGTCTGAAACACACACGTCTGCTCTCACTGGTTGAACGGGATGGTTCGGGTCTGTTTTACTGGTATTAGTAGCGGAAACCATCAGAATCTTCTGTGATGTTCATTCCTGTTCACACTGCTGGATTATCCGCCCAGGAGCCGTGAGGGTTTATTATCAGCATTATGATATTATATAATTATCATCACTCTGAAACACACACACACACACACACACACACACACACACGCACACACACACGGTGAGCCCAGCTGAAAACACACAGCAAACCCAGCAGCAGCAGCAAGACGGAGTTAGCAGATCTGGAGGCTCAGCTCTGTGTACTGGGCAGGTGCTGTACAAGTGTGTGTGTGCGTGTGTGTGTGTGTGTGTGTGTGTGTGTGTGTGTGTGTTGGCCCAGGGCAGGTGTGTACCGTGAGCGTCTGCAGGTGCTGTGACGAGCCCTCACTGCAGCTCGGTGTGTTTCCGCTCGGCGTCTGACGGCTGCTGCTGCAGGTGAGCGCAGTGATACTCCGTTTCATACTGCGGCTGCCGCTCCGCACGCTTGAAGAAACCACACTGATCCAGCAGAGGGCAACAGAGAACAGACACACACACGAGAGGAGGAGGGAGAGGGGGAAGAAGAGCAAGAAGAAGAGGTAGAGGATAACGAGGAAGATGATGAGGAAGAGGAAGGAGAAGGAATAACAGCAGAGTGTGGTTAAAGCATCAGAGATGAACAGAGTTAACAGATGATGAGAGACGAGTGTATGAAGTGGCCCACCCTGATCTACTGTGTGCACTTCTGAGAACACTCCTGTAGGACTAATACTGTCACACCCTGATGCTGCGCTAGACATTTACAGCACGTATTTACTTCCTGAGTGGGAAAGGAAGTGAGGTGTGAGGAACATGAGGGAGAGCGAAGAAAGAAGGAGCAGAATCTGAGAATTACAGCTCTAAACGACTCGAATCAGTCTACGGGTCATGACGAGACACTCTATTGACCGTGGAGGACTGGACCAGCACCGCCATGGCCAGGAACAGCTACACTACATAGGAACATCCAGTCGGTGCATTATCTGTGCAGTGTGTGTGTGTGTGTGTGTGTGTGTGTGTGTGTGTGTGTGTTCAGGTACACACATACCTTCCACAGTAAACACACGAGCAGCGCCAGCACAAGCACTCCAGCCAGGACAGCGATGAGGATGATCCACCAGGGGACGCCATACTGATCTGACAGCCCGATCTCTGGGTAGATCATCACTGACACCTGCACACACAGACACACACACACACACACACACACACACACTGCCCTTCAGAAATCACTCCTATATGCAGAAGAATAAAAATAACTCTGAACTTTGAAGCAGAAGTGTTTTGGGTTTGGGTTTGGGTTTGGGTTTGGGTTGTCGCTGGGACTCTTGGTCAGTTTGATGCATCCTTTATAAACGAACAGTAATTTGTATTTGAGGATGACGACGCTGAGGAACAGTACTCTTCATCTTCAGCTGCTGACTGACTCTCCCTGCACTGCTGAAACATGTCCTTGGTCACGGTTACTGTACGTGTGGTTCAAAACACCTTATGATTACAACTAAACTGAGGACAGTGACGCTGTCTGGTACAGCAGACCCTGGATCCTGACCTGGGTTGGGGTTCACATCTGAGCGGCTGGTGTTCGGCTATTCCCCATAGAACACAGATGGACCCTGAAAGAGTGATGAGGGATTATCCAGGAGTCGTGAGGGGCCGCTGCAGTTCCAGTCACAGTTGTCCATGTTCAGCATAAGGGTGTCCATCAGTGCCCACGGCAGCAGGTCACCCTATAGGCCCGAGGAAAGTGATCAACATTGTGCTTCTATCATCTGATCTCTGACAGTATGTCCTGGACACTTGGCTAAAGAGAGGCAGAGCTGTCCACTCATCAACACCTGCTGGAGTCCAGTCTGCTAACAGAGGAGGACAGACCCGAGAGAGAGAGAGAGAGAGACGCTGCCGTGAGGAGCTGTGGGGCCTGTCCTGAACCTGCTGGTGGACACTGGGGGTAACGGGGACTGACGGGCTGAGTGTGCTGGAGTTAGGGCACTCGGGGAAGAGAGAGAGCTTGAGCCCAAGAAACATTTCCCTAACTGGGACAATAGAGTTTACCTCACCTAACCTTGAAAACTCTGGGAAGAGTTCTGGAGACCATCCCTATCATCAGCTGGCCTTTATTCTGGCACACCGTTCTGCTCCACTGGAAGAGGAAGCAGCTCCACAACAACACTGAATAGGAGATCTGCTGACCTCCACTGGAGATGATGTCCACAGGCATAGCAGACGAAAGGGCCCTGCGTGATGACACCCCCCGCCCCCCCATGCCCTAGACTCATTTTGCAGACAGTGGAAGGAATACTGTGAGGGTCTCCTGAAATCCCACTGACAGGCTGCTGAGGAAGCAGAGACGGGACGCAGCGGTGGACTCACAGATCACTCAAACTGAGGACCCAGAGGCGCCTGTGACCAGCACAGTGACAGACGGACCAGTGAAGTAGCAGCAGGAATGGGCCAATGTACCGCTCCATGTGCTGAAGAAGCAGCTGAGCTGAAAGCCAATCGCTCTCTCTCTCTCTGTCTGTCTCTCTCTCTCTCTCTCTGTCTCTCTCTCTCTCTCTCCTGTGGTCATGAGTTTGGGTCAGACCTCGGACACTAGCAGCCCAAATGATTTTCCTCCGCAGAGTTCGCTCCCTCAGAGAGGGCAGGAGCTGCGTGCTCTATGCCTAATAGTCCAGTTTCGTGGTGAGGAATAAC